GCACTGACCCCATTACATCTGCTCTCTTTGCTCCTGGCCTCTAGGCTGTTTACTGCACTGTATAACACGTTTTGGAGATGTACACAGCAAACAGTTCATATTCTGCCCTGAATCAACCCCCCAGTCACCCTCCCTGATGCCTGGGATCTCCTGGAGTGTGCTTGGACACATGCCTACCATCTATGTCCTTGAAACCCTCTCAGGGTCCCTGGCACCCTCTCAGAGCCGCAGCTCCTTGCATCCCCTCCTCTATGCTCTGTGCTCGGTGTATGCAGCTATCCATCATCCTCACTGCACGAATCGAGGTCTGGTTGCTTCTCGCAGCAGCCAAGTCCCTGCAGCCTGGCCTCAGGGCTGTCTCTGCAGCAAGGCTGGATACAGTGCCAACATGAACCATTTCCGAGGGCTGCACTACCCCCGGCTGCCTGCTAGGAGGGATCTTGCTTCGTCTTGAAGGCTTTTTGCTTCGGGACTGGAACAATTTCTACGTGCAGATGCACAAATCTCAGCGGTTTTTGTTTGTTCGTTTGTTTGGGCTTTTTTTTTTTGCTCAGGCACCTACAGCCTTCTTGACAGAATAAGAAAAATGGTGAAGGGAGACTGAGGTGCTGTACTTCAAAGGCATACAGACCTGAGATTGTGCAGCTGTTTCCTTGCACAGATTCCCCAGCTGCATGGGCATAGACTTGAATTTCTCTGGTTATGAGCTGATGCATGCATACCTGGAGGTGCCTATCAAGCAAATATGTGCTTGCTTTGCTGTTCAGCTCCAGGGCTTTGCACATACCATTGGGATTGTTTGTATGCAATTAAGAAAGAACATAAAAAATATGGCTGTGTGCTGTGCATGCGTAAGACTCTGACATCAGTGAGTGCTTATAATAACTCATATCATACTCACTATTACTGAGCTTTTCATGCCTCTTGTAATCCAGCTCCAAAGGCAAGCTGTCTCTAGCACTGTATCTAACCTGCACACAAGCTGCCTTCTGATTCCCACAGTCTTTGGTTTGTGTTGCAGCAAGAGCACATCTGCATCCATGGGCCAAGCGTGAATCCACCTGCCAAAATACCCTGCAATAGCTTGGGGCAAGGCCCCAGCAGACAGGTAAACAACTTGACCCTGCGAGGATTTAAAAATAAAATTATGCATCCAGACACCTGTTTGGATTAGAGCCCAAGCACTATCAATGCAATACGTGCTTCATGAAGTGGGGGTGGCCATTCTACAGAAGGGAGTGAACCTCATGCTCTCTCATGGTCTCTGCTACAGGAAGCTCAAAGTGGCTCCAGAAGCACGTTTCTCCTAATGACCAAGGCTGACAAGAACAGCAGGTCAGACGTAGCTGTGATACAAATCTTGCCTTGGTTCTCTGGCTGATGGAAGTCACCAGATGAAAACACCAGGACATTTACCCAGCCTATCCTGGACTAGAAGAGAAGAAGCACCTCCAGTGTTCTTCATTTCTCCCAAGTCAAGATTCAGACCAAACTATAGGCTTTTAGAGCAAAGTGGCTTACTCTTAAACCTAAGAATCACAGAATCATTAAGTTGGAAAGGATCTCTGAGCTCCCCTAACCCAACTGTCAACCCACCCCCACTATGCCCACTGACCATGTCCCTCAGTGCCACATCTCCACAGCTTCTGAACACCCCCAGGGATGCTGACTGCACCACCTCCCTGGGCAGCCTGTGCCACTGCCTCACCACTCTTTCTGATAAGAAATTTTTCCTGATATCCAACCTGAACCTCCCCTGGCACAGCTATTGCCTCCTGTCCTAAAAGAAGTCATCAACAGAGCAGGTTTGGGGACCCAAGTCTCAAGGCATCCCATCAGTATCCTGATAATCCTCCTGCCCTCTCATTTTTTAACAGTCCTGGTTGCTAGAGTAATTCACTGCTTCCAGCTGCCAATCATCTGTGGGTTGTCTTGACATTCCTCTTACTTCTCATCTGATAACTGCCTCAGTATTACATTTGTATCTGGTACACACATTCCTGAGGAGGTACGCATACAGGGTGTGAGACAGAGCCCTCACAACTTATATCCTGATCTATTACCAAAAAAAAGCATGTGACAACCTTGAGTCACTCATCAGAGCGCAGAGAGAATTTTTATAGCAATTTTCCTCCTGCTTCGTCTATCTCCATGTGGGTGTGCATTCACACATAAAAAAGCACATAGCACTGTGCAGTTGGGCCTGTTGGTACCTGGCCATCTCAGTGTCAGCCAATGTAATCCTTAGGGCCTTACTGCAGAGCAGGTGTTGTGGAGACCTTTCTTCACCATTTGACTTAGCCCAACACGAGGAACGTGAGTGACAGACGAGAAATCTCTTCTCCACTTTCTCCTCTTGCATCAATCTGGACTGCAGCCTTGCTGCCCAGAGAAGGCATGATCCTTCTAGGCCAGAAAGAGCACCAGTGCCCTGTCCCACCACCAATAGTCTTGCTCTAGCCTTCATCCCACCTGCCTCTGCAGCCCCATAAAGGCTTCAGCATTGAGTGAGCAATGGGCACTACATCCACTACATCCACTACATCCTGCTCATCAAAACTTTGGGTGGGGGATTATGGTAAGCAGGAGAGAGACAATCTCTGTCCTCTTTCCCTTCATAATGCCACCTGCTGTAGCACAGTTTCCTCCGTGATGGCCAGACTGGGACCTTTCTTTAGCTGACTCCTTCACTGTGGTACAAAAGCACATCTTGTTTAGGAAGCCTTTCACTTTCATAAAATCATAAAATGGGAGGACACTCAAAGCTCACCTCATTCCAACCTTCTGCCATGGGCTGGTTGCTCCCCACCAGCTCAGGCTGCCCAGGGCCCATCCAATCTGGCCTTGAGTACCTCCAGTGATGGGGACCCACCACCTCTGTGGGCAGCTGTGCCAGTGCCTCACCACCCTCCAAGTTAAAAATTCTTTTTAACATCTAACTTAAATTTCCCTTCTTTTAGCTTAAGGCCATTCCCCCTTGTTCTGGCACTATCAGACCATGTAAAAGGTTGGTTCCCTTCCTGCTTGTAAACTCCTTTCAAGTACTGGAAGGCCACAAGGAGGTCTTCCTGCAACCTTCTCTTCTCCAAGCTAAAACTTGTGATGCTTCTTTTGCCTGGAGCCCCACATCCTGACCACCAGTCAAGCATGGCTGTACACGGAGCATCCCTTTGAATGTGCATCATCATGTCAGTTGGGAGGCTTTGTAGTTGAAAAAGAAGGAAGCAGGCAAACAAACAGCTCAGAAAACAGCAGCCAAAGGAGTAGAGAAGGAAGCAAAAGAGTCCAGGGGATTATATTTTTTCTGAGCACCTGATCCAGCTGTAGGTGTCCCTGTTCACTGCAGAGGAGTTGGACTGGATGGCCTTTAAGGGTCCCTTCCAACCCAAACAATTGTATGATTTTTCCTGCTTAGCACTAATGGCAGCAACTCCATAGAAGAAAAGTCCTCAAAGCTCTCAGCAATTTGATGCTGTCACCATCTGGCATCACCCCAGAACGCAGCCACTGCCTCCCATGGGCTACACAAGGTGGGAGGCCACAGCAACTTGAGGCAGAGCCAGCCGATGGCTTCTGGGGCTGAGCAGATTTCTGAGGCAGCAAGCACAGAGCCTGGGGAGCAGGGTGCGCGTGAGGCGGTCGAAGCAAGAGGGCTGGAAAAGAAGGGAAGCCGCTGCTGGAAAGCCTCCAGGCCTGCCCGAGCAGGTGGGTGAGCCAAACCGAGGCTCAGCAGGCTGCACGTCTGCCTCAGGAGCTGCAAGTGTCAGAGCAGCCGACCCCCCCGCGCCAGTTGTGTCCCCGCGCAGCGCGGGGAAAGAAACTCCAGGCTCTGCTCCGGCACGCAAAGGCAAAAGGGCAGCTGGGGCAGGGAGGGCTCTCCTCTCCCCCACTCCGCCCTCGCACCCGGCTCTCCCGACGAGCTTTTATCCATTCACTTTCAAGCACAGAAAATCTAAGCTCGGCATCTGCCGGGGGTTCACGAGCATCCGTGGGGCTCCGTGGCTGGGAGCAGCCCCACCGCCGGCGAAGCGGACCTACCTGCGGCTCCAGCAGCCAGCTCTCGTCCGCCTCGCTTCGGGCTGCCCCCGTGTACTTGAATGCGGAATAAAGAGGGATTTTGTCCTTGGTGCTGTAGAGGGTTGCAAAGCGCGGCTCCCCGTTGTACTGCTGACAGATTTTCACGTGGAAAGGCTCGGTGAATCCTTCCGGTGGGACTCGGCCGGGGAAGAACACGTTACACTCGGCAAAGCCGGCTTCGTCCTTGCCGACGACTCTGCCCAGGGAAAAGCTCGGGAAAAGCGACAAGCAGAGCAGACACAGCGCTGACATCTTCACGGTCCGCTCCCCCGGGCCGGCCATCCGGGCTGGGTACGGCGCAGGTCTGGCGGTGCGGAGAGAGGCGAAGGCCGGCGGGCGGCGGTCCCTGCGGGCAGCGGGCGCTGCTGCCGGCGGCGGCCACGGGCGGTGCCGCGCTCACGCCCGCTGGAACGCCGGGCAAGCCGAAATCATCGCGGCTGACTGGGAGGAGGAGGAGGAGGAGGGAAGCCCTCGGCTGTGCCGTATGTAGCAGCGGGGTGTGGTGTCTGCATTGCAGCACAGTCCCCGGGAGGAATTTTGGCTGACGCAGCCAGAACTGTTCCTGGGGCTGCCGGGGGGGATGCCGCAAAGTCAGGTTCGGAGCCCAGAAGAAAGGGCGAGCTGCTGTCCGCAGCAACCAGCCTGGCCGAGGGACAGCGAGGAACGGAGAGAAGGAGGAGGCAGCGCGGTGTCAGCGAGGCTGGGAACACGCTCTGTGGGGAGAGTAGCTCCGTGCCATGCTTGGCCAAACGTAGAGCTGGCAAAAAAGAAAGATAATGCAAGGACTGAAGCCACTCCTCGAGTTTATGATCGGCTGTTACCTGCCTGTGAGCCTACAGCAGCTACTGCTGGGTTAAAGAATGACTGTGCAAACTGGGAAAGTTAATGTTTTCACAGCAGTGGAGTGGAGAGACTACGGAGTATCTCAAGATCAAGAAAACCTGCCTTTCCCCACCCTAGAAAGTGCGTACGACCAGATATACTGCCAATAACTCACTCCCACAACTTAAAAAAGCCAAGGTGCCATAAAGGACACTGTCATACAAAGCTGTCGCATTGCTACAGCGACTTCCAAGCAGGAGTCCCCAAGTGCCACCAATTCTCAGCTGCTCTGCAAGAGGCTACATGACACACAGCTTGTATTGCGAGCAGAGCCGTGGGACGGATGTCAGGGAAGGAGCCTGTAAAAGTGCTACAAATAGCCTGGGCTCTGAGACTCATTTCTGCACTCGGGGGTGGATTCCTGAAGCAGCATAGCAAAGAAATACGTCAGTGCCTTTTCATGTGATGTTATCAGCTCGGGGAGACAGAGGCAGGCTGGACAGGCTGGGGAACGGCAGGAAATGCAGCCAGTAGCTTGTTTGGTTTCCAGGCAGTGGCCTGGTCACTCAGCCCTAGCAGAAAGAATTAGTCATGTGCAGAAAGATGATGGGAATGGAAACACGTGCGTGGCCCAGCCAGAGCACAGCAGCTCCAAAAGACAGGTTCAACATTTCATTCCCCTGGGTGTAAAAAAGGCTACTGGGAAATTGAACGCTGAAGCTAACTTGAGCTGTTTGGTGTTCATCAGATCCCAGGCTGGCAATTATTTGGGCAACAGAAGGAAATACTTTCCCCATGTTCTGAGCCATGTTCTACAGGGAAAGCAAGGCAATGCAGTGCTTCTAAGCATCCCACTCTGACTGATCTGCATTATACCAAGCTGGGCATGGTCCCAACCCAGTGTGAAAGCAGGTTGGGATGCCTCAAGATGGGCACAACAACCAGCAGCATGCTGAGCAGAGGGATCCTTCTGCCAGGAAACAGGGATGTCCTGCCTCCAAGGGCACCTCAGCCTCAGTGTGATGCATCAGCATTCTTTCCAGTCTCAAGGGTCTCTTATATGCTTTTGGGGAACTGTCTTTCCGGGCTGTGAGGCTGCTCTATGCCTGCCTATTTTCTGCTGCATGTACCAGCATGTAAGTAGCACTAGGGATTCTGAAGAGTGTTCAAGGCCAGATAGGATGGGGCGCTGGGCAGCCTGGTCTAGTATTAGATATGGAGGTTGGCAGCCCTCATGTGATTGGGGGGCTGGAGCTTGATGATCCTTGAGGTCCCTTCCATCCCAGGCCATTCTACGATTCTACGATTCTATGATTCCATGATTCTATGAAGAGTGCTCAGGATCTCCTGTTCCATGCTGACTACCAATATGGGCACCAGCATGGACCAAGGGATGATGATACTGCCATAAACCCGGTGAGGCTGGCACTGAAGGCAAGCAATTGTGCTTGATGTGATGGAGAAGAGGGAGCCCATGGAAGGTAAGAGAGACAGATGCTCATAGTACCATAGAATCATTTGAGTTGGAAGGGACCCTTAAAGGCCATCTCCCCTGCGATGAACAGGGACACCTACAGCTAGATCAGGTGCTCAGAGCCCCATCCATCCTGACATTAAGTATCTCCAGGGATGGGCATCCACTACATTTCTGGGCAAAGGGACAAGAGAAAGGTGATGTATCAGCAGCAGGTAAAGGTGCATGGGAGGAGAGGAGACGCTGCACAGCACAGATTGCATGCATGCTGAATTTGCAAGGCATACCAGAGAGAAAGTGGGGAGAAGTGATTTGTGACAAATTTTGGAGAAAGGACAAGAAAAGAGGCTCTAGAAAATGATGTTGACCTGGAGGAAGAGAAGGAGATTGAGCAAAAATTAGTTGATGAGATACTAAGGAAAGCTTAAGAAGGGAAATGGGTAGAAATAGATGTGAAGAAACCCAGAGGGGAGAATGGGAGTGGTCAAATGAACAGATGGGAGAGAGCTGAGGAAAGCTGTTTTCTGTGAAAAGAAAATGAGGAGAACAACATGAAGATGAGGAGACAGAAAGGAGGCTTTCATCCATCTTCACTGACCTCCTCTTCCTGAGAGTCTCAAGCACAAAGACCAAACAATCCTGGAAAACATGGCAGTATTCAGCCCTGTAACAACAGGAGGCCACTGGCTTGTCTGCCCACTTTCCCACACTGTGCCTCCAGCCCGGTCTCTCTGTTCACATGGTTGACACTGAGTTTGCTGCAAATAACTCTTTTCTCCTCACATGCCTGACCCTGCTAGCCTAGACTTCCCAAACATACTTGACTCCAAGTATTTCTCCAGGGCAGATCTCTTGTCTCCAGCTATGAGCTCTGGGTGGGCTGCCAGACTGCATGTGACTGTCCCATTCTATTGGGAACAAAAAGGAAGAAGAAAGTGATTCAGTGGAGACACCACTGTCAAAGATTTGGCTCGGAGCGCGGCAGTCCCAGCAGACACGCCACTGCATGTCAGAGAGCACATCTGCCTCTTCCTTGTCTCATGGGGATGGATTTTCTTGCTAAAATTAACTCAAAAGCGTGGTCTGGGAAAGGAGCCCAGTGCTGAGCTAGGGAGAAAATAAAATCTGAAACAGTTTCTGTGTTAAAACGAAGAGATCCAAGGATGGGAGGAAGAGGGGTAGAAAGAAGATGATCATCTATTTGGAGAAGCAAGGCACTGTTGCAATTTTGATTCCCACCTTAAACCAGGTCTTTGTGCCACTCTCTGCTGCCTGCTTGTTAGATGCTCACACAGACATCTTCACACCTTCCCCATGGCATCCCTCACGCTGGTCAGCATCACCAACAGTGCTGCTTCACTGCCCTCCTCTTGCCATGATTCTCACAGCACAGGGAGCACCAGCGAGAGTAATGGCCTCAAGCTGCACCAAGGGAGGTGCAGGTTGGATATCAGGAAATATTTCTTCTCAAAAGAGTGGGAGGCAGTGGCACAGGCTGACCACGGAGGTGGTGCAGTCAAGAACCATGGAGCTATGACAGAGGAACATGGGCAGTGGGCATGGTGGGGGTGGGCTGATGGCTGGTCTAGGTGATCTTAAAGGTCTTTTCCAACCTTCCATGATTCTATGAAAGACCACCAGACATCTCAAGGTCAGGGTATCAGGGATGCAGACTTGCACGTATAACAAATAAAAGCGATAAAATCCTGAGTCCACATCCTTCAGCACTTCATCGTTATTCTTCAGACTCAAGAAATCTCTATTAATTGAAGGAACTAGAAAATAAGGCAAGAGGAGTGACTGAGAAATTTGGGATTGTTTAGTTTGGAGAAAAGTAGGCCAACCTCCTTACTTGCTCCTTCCAATTGCATGGAAGGAGGCTACAGTAAGGTGGGTATTGGTCTCTTTTTTCAGTTGAGAAGTGACAGTGATGCAAGGAAATAGCCTCAAGTAGCAGCAAAGAAGGTTTAGAGTGGATATTGGGAAGAATTTATTCACAAATAGGGTGGTCAAACATTGGAATGGGCTGCCCGTGCTGGAGTCGCCATCCCTGGAGGTATTTGAGAGCTATGTAGATGTGATGCTAAATGACGTGGTTTTGTGGTGGGACTCAGTAGGTCACTTTGATGGCTGGACTTGGTGAACTTGAAGGTCTTTTCCAACCTGGATAATTCTATGGATCTGGACAAACTCCAGGCTGTTAGAGACTAGCACAACAAATCTCCAGTGTTTGACAGCCCAAGTCCTAGAGGAGAGAAGGCTGTGGGGTGACCTCACTGCAGACTTTCAGTAACTAAAGGCAGCCTATAAGCAGGAGGGGAATCAACAAGGTAGATAATATCAAGACTAGGGGAAATGGTTTTAAGTTGAAGGAGGGAAGGCTTAGGTTGGATGTCAGGGTGAAGTTCTTTACTATGAGAGTGGTGAGGTGCTGGAACAGACTGCCCAGAGAGGTTGTGGATGCCCCATCCCTGGAGATGTTCAAGGCCAGGTTGGATGGGGCCCTGGGCAGCCTGGTCTGGTATTAAATGGGGAGGTTGGCAGCCCTACTTGCAGCAGCAGGGTTGGAGTTTGATGATCCTTGAGGTCCTTTCCAACCCTGGCCATTCTATGATTCTATGGTAAGTTGGATAGATTTAGATTTTGAAAGTACATGGCAACATTTTTAATAGCGTGAATTTTAACTACAGAAATGAGTAATTTAAAGATGTGCCGAAAGCTCAACAATACAATTTTTTAAACCAAGATTAAAAGAGATGATAATTTGTGTGACAGTCAGTTTGCACAGCCACAGCAGTTCTTTCACATCTTAAATTTGTTTGGGACAAGAAAGCCACTCGCATGCTGTTCTTCTAGGTGCTACTACTTACTTTTCCTCATTGCCAGCATTCGATCTTTTCACAAGCGCGGTGTGGCTCAGCCAGTGCTGAGGCTGTGCTGTGTGGAAGCCAGGTGTGAGACGGCTCCTTACAGGCTGCGCTGGCAGAAAACCCACGGGTGGGACCACAATGAGAGGCACAGGCTTGTTGCACTTGCATCATCTCTGAAGAGGGAATGAGAAAGCCATGATCTTTCAGAAAGCTAAACCTGCTGGGGGGGCCCAGCTGTAATCAGGAGGCAGACAGCAGCCGCACCCAGGGCTGATCGTCTCCAGCAGTATTTGGCACTGAGGAGTGGGAGGAGGAGCGAGGAGGCTTTTCTCCATGTCTCGTTGCTGCAATGCACCTCGAGGCTGCTGCAGGCATATGTTAACATCACATTTTCCACACTGTACTTCTGGCTGTGCTACTCTTGGGCAGCACTGCCTTGGGATGGATTCAGACACGAAGAGCAGAGCCACCATTCCTGGGATCGTGTCACTGCCCTGAGCACAGGCCTTCAGCCATCTGTGTGTGCACGGCAGCATGTGTGCAGTGGGGATCTTCCTCTAGAAAACAAAGGCAGCAATGCTTCTGGGCACAATAACTGACCACAGTGAGGAAGGAAATTCTAGTCTTAAATTAGTGCTTTAAATAAATGAGTGGCTGTTTGAGAACACAGGTTAAAATAGAAATGCAAAACTCCAGGTCTCTGGAGAGCAAACCTGGCAGAGCTGTGATTTTAATTTATCTTAAAAGAAGAAAAGGATTTTGCAGCCTCTGTTCTGGGATTTGCTACAGAACTGTTACTGATTATTTACACTGCCTGTTTTGACTTTCTTTGGAGGTGTATTAACATGTTTGTGGCTGTGTACGTTTGTCATGCTTTGCAAAGGGCATGAAAACTTTGCTTGTCCTCATCTTGTGCAGCCATGAATCCTTTCCTTAATGCAGGCAGTCAGTGCAAGCCTGTTCCTACTCTCTTAACTTCAGCATCAGCAGCCAGGAGGCCAAGGTTTTAGTCCTTCCTCCTTCAGTAGGCAAGCAGGAGTTGGGGCCAACCGTCCTTCTCCACTCTAGTGCTCCAGTCACGGTCGTACTGCTCTGAGCAATTTCTCGTGCTGTTGGGCTGTGCATGAAGCCTCCTGTTCATATCATTAAAGTACTTAAATTCTCTATTAAATGTGCAGTAAGGACATACTCATGGCTCAGCAGGGACCACTGCAGTCCCATTAAGCATCAGCCTCTGTACCACGACATGATGCTCTCCAGGTCCTCTGTGCAGCACCCTGGAGGACAGAAGCCCTGTATGCACACCTGATCCTCTGCACCCAGCAGTGCAGCACCACTGCATGGGACATCACTGAGCCATCCTCGAGCACGGCAGGACAGAGTTGCTAAGTGCATGCTAATGCAGTAATGAGTGAGAGCAGTAAGATCAAGGTGCTTCGTGTGAGCTTTTGCATGTGAGCTGCAGCACAGAAGTGAGATGGGCTGCTTGTACTGTGCTCATTTCAGGCAGTGGGCCAGGGAGAGCAGGAAAGGGAGGGGAACGCTAAGCTCAGTTTCAGTTGCTACTACTCAGCAGCGGTGACACGGAAGCAGGCAGCATCTCGCCAAGGAGAGGCAAACGTGCAGAATGCCTGCACAACGCCCTGCTGGGGCACCTCCAGCTCCCACAGCACTGTGCTCAGCTCTGCCTGGGGCAGCTGGCCACTGCAAACCCTGAGCCAACCATCCATACAAAGCTCAGTGTCAAGTCCAGCTCAGATAGATGTCGCGGTTCTTATGGTAAAAATACAAATGGAAGCACCCTCATGAGCACATCCCTGCAGCACTATGCTCAGGCCTGGAGCCCCCAGCACAGGAAGGATGTGGAGCTGTTGGATCAGGTCCAGAGGGCCATGAAGGTGCTCAGAGAGTTGGAGTACAGAAGACAGGCTGAGGCAGCTGGGCTTGTTCAGCACAGAGAAGAGACACCAAGGAGACCTCATTGTGGTGTGACAGTACCTAAAGGAGCCTGCAGGCAAGATGGGGAGGGGCCCATCATCAGGGAGTACAGGGATAGAACAATGTGAAATGGCTTTAAATCAAATGGGGTAGATTTGGGTTATACATTAGAAAGATTTTTTTTTGCAGTGGTGGTGGTTATATGCTGGCACAGGCTGCCCAGAGAAGCTGTGGGTGAGCCATCCCTGGCAGTGCTCAGGGCCAGGCAGGATGGAGCTGTGGTCAGCCTGGTCCAGTGGAAGGGGTCCTTGCTCATGGCAGGAGGGCTGGGACTGGATGATCACTACGGTCCCTTTCAATCCAAAACATTTTAGAATTTGGTGATTCAGTGATTCTGTTATTCTATAAAAGCTCTCTGGGCTTCGTAACACAGGAAATCAAACCACACCCTGCTGTTTTATGGGATATTGTACCTACAGGTCTCAGAGAAAAAGCCTTTGGTGCTTTATCCAGCTTTTTATAAAGAAGGAACAGCGCAGGACCTGGGGAGCGGGGGTTAACTTTTGCACGGTTCCCAAGCTAGTTGCTGTGCTGGGAGGAAATACAAGTTTCTTTTTCTTCTGCTTATTGCAGGCCTCCATAAGCAAAGGCTCCCCAGAGGTCTCAGACCTGAAATAATGTGAATTGGAACAAAGAAAAAAGGAAGAATCAACCTGGCATCTCTTCACTTCTACATCAAGAGCGCATTGTTTTCCAAGCTGTTGTTCTTTGTTTTCACTTGACTCCGAGTGAACTGATTTCTGCCCACACCCAAAAGGAACAATGCGGGTGTTTGAGACTGCTCCTGACTCTGCACTGCCTCCAGACTGAACAAACACGTTGCAGAGTGCAGGGTCAGTAGCTAAAGGTGGGCTGTTGCAGGTTAAGAGGGATTGCTGTTGGTTGACAGCAGTTGGAATCCTCTTAGTTATTAAATTGTCATAAATTAATATGGCATCTTTGGAGGACGTGGGAACTGATCCTATGGCTTACCTTGTTTTCAGTGAGCTTGAGGGCTGCACTACTGAAATGCTGCTGGAAAAGAAACTCAGCCAGGTTTTAAATGGGTCAGGATGATGCATGGCTGTTTGCTCTTCTTATAAACTCTTCCTCGCATTCCTGGTTCAGAGACTCACTATAAACTAGGAGAGTCCATGCTTTCATGCTGGCTGCTCTGTTCCTTGCAGCCCCATTTACAAAAAATACTTAGCTGCACCTTGAATCTTCCAGTAACAGAAATTTTAAATCCAGAAGAGTCTCATCCAACTGAACTTGTCTGGTCTGGAGAAGAGGAGGCTCCGTGCAGCTCCCTGAGCAGGGGAAGCAGACAGAGGTGCTGGACTCTGCTGCTGGGAACTGGTGGCAGGACAGGAATGGCACAGAGCTGAGCCAGGGGTGGCTCAGATTGGACATTAGGAAACATTTTGTACCATAAGGATGGTCAAACACTGGGACAGGTGGCTGATGCCCCATGCAGCCCTTCTCCATTCTGCCTGATAAGCTGCTTGTGGGGTGTTTCACTGGTATTCTTTGTTCCATATCTACACAAACAGTGAAAAAACCCCAAGAGAGTCCACAGCAGTGTGTGGGCAGCAGGCCCTTGCCTCCTGGATGGGCGATACAATGCTCATTTGGGTGTCTGGGCATCCAGATACTGAAAGTCCTCCCAGACAAGCAGGGACTGAGTCATTGTCAGCCAGCTGAGAAAAGGATAAAATTAGCTTAGTCCTTAGCAGAGCTGTTTGGCTAGTAATTCACACAGTGAGGTATTTTTGCCTAACGCTGGATGCAGCTATTGAGAGAGGTATCGCCCAGCAGCTCATCTGCATATAAATATCACAGGGCTAAAATTAATTGCTTTGTCCAAGCTCAAAGAAATTATTTGATTCTGCAGAAACAAGAATTCCCCCACAGGAACGAGCGTGTGCCCAAGATAGAGAGCAGCAGAGCTGTGTGCTCTTCAGTGCCACCCATGCCCCCAGCACCCTCCTCCCTCCCTTGCTGAGTGCCTTTGGGCTGACATCACCTTGTGGGTGGGGAACTGCTCCAGCACAGCCCCACGGGCAGCAGCTCCCCCAGCCCTCCTGCCCCACTGTGGGCTCTTCTCCATGGGCTGCAGCTCTAGCCTGGACTGCTCCTGCAGGGGTATCCATGGGCTGTGCCTCCTCAAGGCCTCATCCACTGCTGCACAGTGGGCTCCTTTATGGCTGCACATGGAGACGTGCTTCATGTGGTGCCTGTGGGCTGCAGGGGGATGGCATGCTCCTCTGTGGGCCTCTCCTGAAAGCTTAGGAAGGGCCTAGTTCATGTTCTCGCCTGTGCCTTTTCTTGCAGGGAATTCTTGCTGACTCCTGGATTTTTCTCTGTTGAGAATCATTATAAAGTCTCTTCCTCATTGCAAAGCCATTGTCAGATCACGCTTACTTCATGAAGCAAAGACAGACAGTAGTACAGGGGCTGTGATTGAGCACAGAGGCAAACAGCCAAAGAATCAGTGGGGTGAGAGGCAGATGGGAGGAGTCTGAGAGCTGGGATGATTCTGTAAGCACACAGAAAAGCAGCAGCACAAGGGTTTCATAGCAGTACAAGAGTTTTATGGCCCCACAGCAGCACAGAGGGCATGATGGTGAGCAAGCCCTTGGAGATGCCTTCATCGGAAAACAGCGCCATGCTGGCTCACCAGCTGAATCACAGCCCAGCCAGACCTCTGTTCTTTTCCCAATCAAGGAAACAGAGACTTCCCACCAACTTCTTTTAAGGCTGCTGTTTGGATGCTGAGCATTCCTGCGCTGGGCTGCCACTGCTGACAGTTCCCTGCAACATCACCAGGGCAGTGGGAGGCTCAGTCCTTGAAAGAACACATGTCCCAGGGAAGGAAATGTGCTGTGGCCATGCAAGCCACGTCCTGAATGGCAAGACACAGGTTCTTAAGGAAGGGTGGCAAGGGGAAAATTCCAGCTCAGACATTTCCGTTTGGGCACAAACCTCTGCTCAGGTCGAGGACATGCTGGTGTACTGCTCACGGTCCCACATGGCTTTAAAAGCACAGATCACATGCAGTGTTGCTGTACCTGAGGGTGGGCAGAAGGTGATCTCAGAGCCTACAGTGCAAGAGCCAAGGATTCAGAGAAGGAAGTTCCCTTGTTTAAGTTCCCACCCTGAAAAAAAAAAAAAGAAAAAAACAAACAAACAGTGGAAAGCAACAATTAAATCTACAAGTAATGTTAAAAATGGAAGAAATGAGGAAGAGATGGCAAAAAGTACACATAAGAAGCTTTAAAGAACAAAAATATGACACAGGAAAGAGGGGGATAAATCCCTGCTTTGGCAAGACAAGGAGGGGCTTTTTGAAGTCCATTAGAAACGCAAGAAATCTTCATAATGTCAAAGGCCAAGAAGCAGATGAGAAAAATATTAATAAGTCTCCAAACAGGCACAAGGTTTATGCAAATGCTTTTGTTCTCTTTTAGGAAGTGATGCATTCTGCAGTCCTTTGGTAATCTCACAGAAGGACCAACATTTAAGATCCATACATATTTGCAAAAGTCCCAGCATCCTGGAGCACTGAGATAACCAGAGAATATTGGTCTCTTGGTATGAAACTTTAAAATGCCTCTGGATACAGGAAAGCTGCAGAGAACAGAAGCCCACGGATTCTGGGGAGCTGCTGTTCTTCAGCAGGAGTTTGAGTTTGGTCATAAAGAGGCCCTGTAAATGTAACAAATGGAGAATTCATGACATGTTTGATTGGTGGTTCATGATGATGGCAAAACAGGCACTTTGCTGTAGGAGCTGCACCCCTTGGTGTGTGTGTCAGCGCCCAGAGGAAGTAACGTGGTGGTCTCTGTATTCTGCATTTGCACTGGTGATCTACAAATAAATACAGCATTGCAGTAAAAACATTAACAGGTACCATCAAGAATTTGGGAAGGTGACTAAGAGACCATGGCAGTGATACCACAAGGGTGGTTTTTTTTTCAAGCCAGATGCATTTAACACAAGTAAAGATGTCAATTCATCTAGGATCAAAGACTGCATGACTTTTTTTAACCAGGAAAGCAACAGCCCTGGAAAGAATTTAAGAATCAGCAAGACTTGCATCTGCATTGCAGTGCCCAGAGCAGTGGTGTGGGGAAGAAAACCAGTCTGATTCTTGGGTATATAAACAGCTGCGTAGAAAGCTGGGGGGGAAAGGGATCTTAGATCTCCAGCTCACCTCATTGGGGTTGATGTCGAAAGAGTTCTCATACTTATGATGATAAGTTAGAAGGAGAGGAAGAAAGAGCAAATAACTGGTGGGAAGAAGGAAAGGACTAGAAGTGGCCAGTCTGCTTGCCTCATGCAAAGGTAGTTACAGGACTAGCTTACAAAGTGTAAACACCTGGTGGGAAAATGGGCTTTTCACATTGTGCACAGCAGATACCCAAGGTTGAGAAGAAAGACAAATGATCTGAAATTAAAAGTAAACAAACAGCCATTTTGAACTGTGAGGATAATTAATCACTTCAGGAAATCATTAAGGGAAGCAGTGAATTTTCCTGCTTTTCATGTTACCCGTGCAATTCAGAATCTCTCCCTAAGAGTCGCCACAGCCAAATTGCTCAGCAGAGGAATAGCCAAGGGTGTGTCCATGGGGAAATAATTGGTGCAAAGAGGTACAAGGCTCAGGAAGACAGCAGTCTTTGGTCATGGACTGGTCTGATCAGAGCAAGCATAGGAAGGTAAAAGACCTGGGATTTTGTCATTGCTTTTTTTTTTTTTTTTTAAACCTTATCTGATGGTTCACGATCATGAAAACAGGGCCTGGAATGCAGAAATTCCCACTTACAGACAAGTGGCTATACCACTGAATTTTATTGGTGTTGCCTTCTCCATACATGCTCTCATGAATGAATCTTTCATTCTTTCCAAGAGAAGCTATGAGGGAGCTCTCCCAAGGCCCCATCCCTCTCTCTGTGCAGTGAAACCCCAAGGCAGGGCCGTGCTGCACAACAGTTCAGGCAGGCCCATGCTCCTCATCCCAGAAGACCAAGAGAAGGCAGAGGGGCTGCCAAGGGAGGACCTTCACCAGTGCAGAAAAAGAAGAAAGCCATGCCAGGTTGCTCAGGACCTGCTCTGGGGGTCCCTGCTTGAGCAGGAGTTGGACCAGATGGGCCCAGATGTCCCTGTCAACCACAGCCATTCTATGATTCTGTAAACATACAGAGTTTGGGCCAGTCTTGAACATGTTTGGGGTTAGTTCAGATCTAAGAAGCTTAGCATCCTGCTCACGCTGAAGCCCAACAGAAATGAGATATATTCCCCAGCTCAGTGAGCAGGAAGCTTTCATTAATGATTTAATGATTATCAATAAAGAAATTAATTAATTATTAGAGACCTTTAAGATCAAAAGTTGTGGACCTGTGAAGGTTCAGTTCCACTGTAGCAAGACTGAGGTGGGATTTTTATGGAGTCCAGACTCAGGCACCTCAACTCCTCCAGAATCTCTTCTTCAGCACCCACATCTACTAAGGAAGACTTTGTCCACAGAATGTGCCCATAGCTGTTTTTACCTCACATCTATACTCACAAACTGGGAGGGAACACCTCAGGGTTGCAGGGAACAATTCTGACCAAAGACACCACAGCTTTCCTTTATTCAAAGATCAGAGCAGTCAAATTAGTGTAAGAGCTACTTCTGATTTAAGGCTCAAAGGTAGATATTAATGCATATACAAATAACACCCACCATCAGAGGTGGATGCGCTGATTCAGCTTGGAAAGCTGGGCTCCATCAGGAGAGGGGTGGCCGGTAGGGACAGGGAGGTGATTGTCCTTCTCTACTCTGCCCTTGTGAGGCTCCATCTGCAGTACTGGGTCCAGATCTGGGGCCCCCAGTACAAGAAAGACAGGGAGCTGTTGGAGAGGGTCCAGAGGAGGGCTATAAAGACGATCAGGGGGCTGGAGCACCTCCCCTATGAAGACAGGCTGAGGGAGCTGGGCTTGTTCAGCCTGGAGAAAAGAAGGCTGCAGGGTGACCTCACTGAAGCCTTTCAGTACCTAAAGGGAGCCTAAAACAGGAGGGAAGACAACTCTGTGAAAGGGTAGATGACAGCAGGACAAGGGGAAATGGTTTTAAGTTGAGGGAGGGAAGATTTAGGTTGGATGTCAGGGGGAAGTTCTTTACTAAAACAGTGGTGAGGTGCTGGAACAGCTGCCCAGAGAGGCTGTGGATGCCCCATCCCTCAAGGTGCTCAAGGCCAGATTGGATGGGGCCCTAGGCAGCTTGGACTAGTATTAAATGGGGAGGATGGTGGCCCTGCTTGTGGCTGGGGAGTTAGAGATTCATGATCCTTGAGTTCCTTTCAATCCTGGTCATTCTGTGATCCTGTGATTTCAGGTTGCTGTGATTCAGTCTGCAGCCTGACACTGATGAATTCCTCACAGGAATTCAAGGAGGTGACACTATTTCTCTGTACAGCAGGGCCCACTTCTTCCAAGGGCTTTCTGTGAAGGCTCCAAAGGGTGTGCTCTGCCATTAGGTGCTGGGGCTCCTTGTGTAGTAGCATCTTTGGAGACCTCTCGTGGGCTCTTTTCAAAGTCGCATGCTGTGTGAGGGGCTGCCCAGGAAGAAGTTTCCTTTGGAGATGCATCAAAGTTTGACATTGCATGAATCACCGAAGTCTGATAAGCTGAAAGCAACAGCAAACACAAGAGACACTGCATTTCAACTCTGGGTGATGTGCTCTCACACGGTGGCTTTTTTACAGACAGCAATGAACATACCCCAAGTTAAGGGCATCAGCTGTGGGGAGCTGCTAGCTGGGAGACAGGCCCAGGTGACGCTGCTGACACAAGGACTGGAGGGCCCTGCTCCTCCCTCCAGCTCGTGGCCTGGACTCGTTCCTACCCCTCAGTTCTCACTCATTTGTGACAGAGGCCCTGACAGTGGCTTGTCTACATGGGGGAGGTGGCTGGAGCTCACAGAAAGGATGAGAAAGACGCGAGAGGATCGGCCAGGCACAGCCTAGATGGCCAAAACTTGAGGACAGCGGGAGCAAGGAGCAGCTCGCACCGCAAGCCCAGGCCGCGCGGCAGGGGAGGCGGAAGAAAGCCGCCATAGCTACTCAGGCAGCAACAGCGCCTACTTCCGCCTCGGTAGCGAACATGGCGGACGCGCTTCCGCAGAGACGTAAGAAGTCCTTCCGGTCTCCATCTCTATGGTAGGTTCTCCTTCCGCCGCTCTGCTCTATGGCCGCCGCGCAGGGCCTTGTGGGTAGTGGGCGGGATGATGGCGGTGGCGTAGGGCCTGGCTGCTCAGCGGGAGGAGATCCTGAGGTCAGAGGAGGGGGTTGAGGGGACTGAATCGGGGGTTCTGGGCGCGGGGAGGCGGTGGGCGGCCCGGTGGGACCGGAAGGGAGGCTGAGGCAGTGGGGCGGCCTGATTGGGCCGGGCGTGTGCCGATGGACGTGTCTCAGCCGGCCCGGCGTTGTGCGGCACTGCCGGGGCTGCTTCCAGTGCTGCGCCGCCGGAACCTCAACGGAGCGAACGGGCCCGAGTGGCGTCAGGCGGAGTGCGGGTCCCTTACGGCCCAGATGAATGGATGAGCCCGGAAAGATGCTGCAGGGGCAGTTTCCGTGGGATTTGGTAATGCTCCATGGGTGTACGCAGTCGGGCCGGGGCTTGAACTCGGAGATCCCTTCCGTTACCTATTAATAACACAGATAAGTCCTGGGGTCACGTCTTTTTCTGGTCGTGGTTCTGCACCAAAGCCAACAAAGCCTGCCGAGCTCCGGTTCGCCTGCACAGAGTCACTACAAGTGTCTGCAGTTGGGGGCAGTGAGTGCGGGCTCGTGCTGGCTGTCTCTCTTCATGGAATCATAGAATGGATTGGAAGGGGCCTCCGAGCCCACCCACATCCAACTCCAGCCATGGGTTGATTGCCTCTCACCAGCTGAGGCTGCCCAGTGCCCATCTAGCCTGGCCTCGAGCACTTCCAGGGATGGGACATCACAGCTCTCTGGGCAGCTGTGCCAGGTCCTCATCACCTTCTGAACATCTCTTGCTTTTAAGTCCTTAGGCTGTGCTTATGGATGTGCTGGTGAGGCAGAAATGTGTGTAATTTCATTTAACAGACTGAAGGTGGCACTGATGGATCATCCAGGATTTTTGTTGGTCTGGTTGGTTTTATTGTTTTGGTTTTTTGGTGGGTTGTTTTTGCCTTGGTGGAATGCCCTAAACTTTTGGCTCTATGGTTTGGGCCTGCAGGGCCTCTAGCTGCTGTCTGCAGTGCTGAACACAGTGTGTGCTGACAGCTGTTGTGTAGCTGAAACTGAGCTGAGCCCCTTTCAGTCCTCTGCCATACCTGCACTTCTTGGCATCGGTTATTTCATTATTAGATCCTGTTGGTGCTGCATGAATTTCTGTAGTTTCTGTAAGAGAGTTGGTGAACTTCAGTATTTGTCTGAGGAAGGTGTTTTGTTAATTGCACTTAATTCACATAAGCACTTCAGAAGGTTTGCTGGCCAGCTAGAGCTCTGCTGCATTACCAGTGTTGATGCTGTGCCTGTAATGGAGAAATGAACCAGGCCAGGACAAGGACTGAAGTTTAGAATGTGTGACCATTGTCACTGTTCAGTTATCAGCACCAGCACGGTACAGTCCACGTTGGCTGGCATTTGTGGTAATAATACTAAGATATGCATAATTGAGAGATCATTTCCAATAGGCTCTCATTTTTGGCTGTGTTTTTTCCAGAGGGGAAAGAGTTATACTTCTACCAAGACTTAAGGACAGGAGACTGGCTCCTGGCATTTTATCCACTTTTATAAATAGGACCTCACATTCTTATTGTAGTTTCTACCATCTTTCAGACATGTTGGAAAAGACTTCATTTTTAGAACATCTGAAGCTGCCAATTAAAAAAGCTCCTTAAGCTTTAAGGCTCGTGTGCCAAATGATAGTTTGTATTGTGTAGTGGAATTTGCTGTTGCTGCAACAGTTCCAGCAGCATCGTAGCTTCTGGTGAACGTCTTTTACTTTAAGTTACAG